ATATGTATGTGTATATATGTATGTTTGTGCACTATGTGCATGTATTGCCTATGGAGGCCAGAAGAGGGCATTGGATTCCCTGGTACTGGAGTTAGAGGGTTATGAGCCACGTGTACTGGAAATGAAACCTGGATCCTCTGCGAAAGCAGCAAATATTCTTCACCACTGAGCCTTCTCTCCAGGTCTATGAAAGGTGATTTTAAAGAGATGATAGAATAATATCTAATAATTAATGGTATTATTTCCTATAATAAAAAAAAACATTAAAGCCTCACCTGTGACACAGGCCTGAAATACCAGCACGTTGAAAAGCTGATAGAGGATTACAATTTAGCAAGATTCTGTCTCAAAATAGAAAATAGTAAAAGGGTTTGCGATGTAGCTTAGTTGTAGAACACTTGCCCAGCATGTGCAAACCCTAGGTTCAATTCCTAAAACCATTTTTAAAATTTAATTAATTTTTTGAGACAGGGTTTCTCTGTGTAGCCTTGGCTGTCCTGGAACTCACTCTGTAGACCAGGCTGACCTCGAACTCAGAGATTCACCTGCATCTGCCTCCTGAGTGCTGGAATTAAAGGCGTGTGCCACTACCACCACCTGGCTCCTTTTAAAACATTATTTAAATTTTAAATTATTTCTTTTAATAATTTACTTATTTTTAAAATCATAATTACATCATTTTCCCTTTTCCCTTCCTCCTTCCAAAATCTCCCGTGTATCCCCTTACTCTCTCTCTCAAATTGGTGGTCTTTTTCATATATGTATACCTATACCTAAATATATAAACCCAGCTTGCTCAGTCTGTGTAATGTTAGCTGTCTGCATATGATCTCAGAACTGGATAGCCAGCCCTTGGTACTAGATAACCAGTTGGGGGCTCTTCTCTGGAGAAAACCATTTCTCCCACTCCTATCATCCCCCAGTTCCCATGGTTCTCTGTCTAGAGTTGAGCTCTATGAGCTTTCCCCTTCCCATGTTATCACATCTATTGGTGTCCTCCGTGTTCAGGTCTTGTTTAGACAGTCATGTTGATGAGACTTGGTGGGTGCAGTCTCTGACATTTCCAGATGACATAATCTCTCAGCAAACTTTCTGTTCCTCTGGCTCTTAGAATCTTTTCACCACCTGTTCCACAATGATCCTTGAGCCAGCCTTAGGTGCAGGAATTTGTTGCAGATTTATTCGCTGTGACTGGGTACCACATGATCTCGTCTTCCTTTTGATCAGTTGTGGTTCCTTGTAATGGTCTCCATCTGTATCTTTAATGAGTGATTTAGATATAGATAACTATACTTATCTGTAGCTATAAGAGTAAGCATTTAAATTGGGCAGTGGTGGCACACGCCTTTACTCCCAGCACTTAGGAGGCAGAGGGTAGAAGATCTGTGTTCAAGGCCAACCTGGTCTACAGTGAGTTTCCAGGACAGGCTCCAAAGCTACACAGAAAACCTGTCTCAAAAAACCAAAACCAATCCCCAAAACCAAAAACAAAGTAGCTAGGAATTATACTGGTTTAGTAAAGTGGTGGTTGTAGTGTCACCTCCAAGATCCATGTCTTCACTAGTGGGTAGTTGGCTAGGTTTCCAGTAACAGGCATAGTTTCCCTCTTGAGCGGGCCTTAAAACCAGTTAGAGAGCTGTTGATTGCTGCCAAGGTATGAGTGCCACGACTGCACTCTTTGGATCATCATGCCATTCTGGTGGTTGTGGTGGTCCGTAGGCATTACAGCTAGTTAGGACTATTGGTTACTTTCCTCCCTTGGAAGATCGCATGGTACCTTCTGGTACTATGAAAGGTAAAACTCACGGAGGCTTTCAGGTCAGATCCAGCTCGGGTCCTCTGGGTCCTGTGTCCAAAGTACATGTGTCTTCAGCAACTGGGACTTACCTTCCACCTCCAGGAGGTAACCAAGGGCAACAGCAATAGCCTACAATGCTTTGGGAGTCCTTTGGGCAACCCTGACCAACAACTCAAAAGGCAGCTTTCCATGCCTGATGTTGGGGTTTTTGTTAAGAGTTGATGGCTCTTGGGGGAAGCACTGACAGCCTAGATGGGAAATTTTATTTAAACTATATATGTATAGGTAGTTTATGTGTAGACATATATGTATTGTATATAATTTAAGGTAGATATATAATCGTATTGATTTTTTCAGATATTTTACCCAATTCCTCCTTCTGTATGTATACCCCCTAATTAAAACCATCCCACCTTCCCTACTTCCCCCTTCAGATCACTTGTACCCAGCTATCTCCCTCCATTGCTCCCCCCTCCTCCTGTGGCCCCTTTTTACTCCAGGTTATATATTCCTGTGAAGACTTGGAGCTAGGAACTACAGGTGAAGAGAACGTGTTCTGGGTCTGGGTTACCTCACTATTATCCTCCTGGTTCCATTCATTTATGTGGCTAGGCCCTGGTGAAAACTGAAACTGTCTAAGTCATAAAAATAAACTACTAGACCATGGTTTGCATTGTCACGTTTAGACTCTAATTTGGAAGGCTCCTCAATCCCCATGCCCCATTTTTGAAGGGGTCCTGCTGTTAGCCAGCAAGCTGGTTTCTCTCCTGGGCTCAAACAATTCCTACACTCCACCCAGCTTCCCGTTAGGTGAGATGATGGGGACGCTATGCTGCGTGCTAGGATACCCTTCTATTTTCCCTTCATCTTCAGGTCTGTCCACCTGACTTTTCCGATGATTCTCTCTAGTGTGGTGGAGTACCACAGTGATGCTGTCCTAAGTGTTTCTTGGGAAGCACAGTGTTGTCCCATCACTTGGTCATTTAGTTGTCTACCCAGTTATTTCAGTCTAAAACTCTAGATTTTCCCTTTGTAGTTAGTACCCTGAGTGGGACATTCTCAGAGTATGTTTTAGTATATACACCATCATTCTCAGCTTGACTATCAGGGCAGTAAAATTTGCAGCTTTGTTGTTTGAGACAGGGTCTCACTATGTAACACTGGCTGACCTGGAACTCCGTCGTGTGTATACTAGGCTGGCCTTAAACACAGAGATCCCCCTGCCGCTACCTCTGCTGGGATTAAATGTACCACACCTGGTTATAACTTTACTTTGTATGTGTGGTCTATGTACACATGTTCATGCATGCATACACCTATGAACTCAAGGATGTTCAAAGAGGACACTGGGCTTATTATTCTATCATTGTTTGTTTTATTTCCTTGAAACAATGTCTTCCTGAACCTGGAGCTAGGATGGCAGCCAGCATGCCCCAGCTATCCTCGTCTCTACCATACAAAACTTTAGGGACACAGGAGTGCATGTCAACATGTTTTTCAAATGGGCAAGTGGGGTTTTGAATTCAGGTCCTTATGCCAATTTCACTGCTTCCACCTTTTACATTAACCCAAATGTAACTTATACTGTTCTATTTGACGTCTAGTCTAAGTCAATCATACAAAGAATCTTACTTGCATAAACCTAGCCCTATGACAGTCAAGGATGAGAAGGGACTAATGGGGCTCTTCTACTCAAGTACCTCTGTTAACTGACAGACCCTGGAATGGAGAGAATTACTGTCTTGGGTTGTGTACCCACTGCAGAGCCCCCCAGGCTCCAATGGAGAGCCCCAAACCTATGATCACACAGATGGCCCTGGTTAATCTTGGTGGATTATGGGGCCAGGAGAGAGGCTCAACAGTTAAAAGAGCACTTGGCTGCTCTTCCAGAGGACCCAGGTTCAATTCCCAGGACCTACATGGCAGCTCCCAACTGTCTGTAACTCTAGTTCCAGGGGACCCAATACCCTCTTACAGACATACATGCAGGCAAAACATCAATGCACATAATATTCTTTTCAAGCAGGGTTTCTCTGAGTCCTGCATGTCCTGGAAATCACTCTAGACCAGGCTGACGTTGAACTCACAAAGATCTGCCTGTCTCTGGAGTGTTGGGATTAAAGTTGTGTGCCACCACTGCCCAGCACCTTTTGAGATAATGTTAAGTCCCCTCCCCTCCCCATGTAGGCTTCCAGGAACATGAGACAGCTATTCTTTCAACATGTTGCTTCCACATACTCTTGGCTCACATACAAAAAAAGAACAAAAATACAGGTCTCAAACTAGGGTGTTTTTTTTTTTTTTTTTTTTTTTTTAAAGATTTATTTATTTATTTATTATGTGTACAGCATATGTGACTGCAGGCCAGAAGAGGGCACCAGATCTCATTACAGGTGGTTGTGAGCCACCATGTGGTTGCTGGGAATTGAACTCAGGACCTCTGGAAGAGCAGTCAGTGCTCTTAACCTCTGAGCTATCTCTCCAGCCCTCAAACTAGGGGTTTTAAAACTCAAAATAATACAAGTCCAAGAAAAAAGTATTAGGAAAAAGTGAGGAAATACTAAGTTGACTGAGGATGAAACTTTTTTTTGTATAATTATATATTGCCGAAATGTGAGGAAAATAAAAAATTGGTTTCCACAGGGCTGGCGAGCTCTTCCAGAGGATGTAGCTAGAGTTTTCCTGCCTGGCCCACAGTCAGGACACATCTTTGTCACCCGCCAGTCCCACAGCCGCTCAGACCCGACCAAGTAAACACAGAGACTTATATTGCTTACAAACTGTATGGCCGAGGCAAGCTTCTTGCTAACTGTTCTTATAGCTTAAATTAATCCATTAATCTATACCTTGCCAAGTGGCTCGTGGCTTACCGGCATCTTCACATGCTGTTTCTCATTGTGGCGGCTGGCAGTGTCTCTCTGACTCAGCCTTCCACTTCCCAGCTTTATTCTCTTCCTTGTCCCGCCTATACTTCCTGCCTGGCCATTGGCCAATCAGTGATTTATTTATTGATCAATCAGCAACACACTTGACATACAGACCATCCCACAGCAAGAGGACCTGGTTCCACTCCCAGCATCCACAGTTCCAGAGGACAAGGTACTGCATGTACATACTGCAGATAAACATGCAAACACATAAAATAAAAATAAATAGGTTCCAAAACAGTTGCATTTTCCACTGTTACCAAATAAAGAGACAATCACATTTTCAAATTAACTTTTATTTGAAATTACTCTTCCCCACATGAATTTTAGGATCCTATCCAATACAATAACCCACGAAACCAATAACCAACCAATACCAAAATTTCTAACAGCAAGTTATACAATTGTTCTAGGTAATAAATAAAGGTTTTCCTTCAGTGATTAAGGGAATACTTAAGTTTCTGTAAATTTAACATAAAAATCACACTTTAAGTTTATAAGGTTTAACATGTAACTTCAAATATAACAAGTTTTATAGGAATCTACAAGTTTTTAATTCCTAAAAGGTGACTTAATTTTTTAGGTTCAAAGTTACATTCTGCATATTTTTCTCCTACAGCTTCAAACTTTCTACACTCAACTAATCCTGTTCCATGCCACTCCAGACAAACTTGACATGACTGACCTACTTCAAGTGTTATTTATCTTTCCCCAAAGAAGGTTAAAAAGCAGTTTGTTATAACTGCAGATTTCTAATAAAAGGACATCTACTACAATATTCGTCACAAAAGCTTTCAAAAGATCATTTTTTCCTCATAGTAAAGGCAGAGAAGAACCACAAAGTCTAACACTGGGCTCCTTTTTACTCAGATGTTCAAGGACTTAAATGACAATTACACCTTTAAGAGTATAACGAAGGGTGGAAAACAGCAACACAACTGGCCACACTATAGATGAAATAAATGAGGTTTTTGTTTTGTTTTTAGGACTAGGAAGCATTGGAAGCTTAGAAATCCAGAATCAAAGGGGGAAGGGGAAAAAAGGGGGGGGGGCAGAGAGTCCTTGGCCACAACCACTCCATTATTAATAGCGTCCTGAAAGAGAACAGAAACAATTATAATTATAGTTTGATGTGCTTAATGTTTTTCCAACTATTTTTTTTAAACTTATTTTTATTTTATGTGCTTTGGTATTTTGCCTGCGTGTATGTCTGTGTGAGGGTGTCAAATCACTTGGGGCTGGATTATAGGCAGTTGAGAGGTGCTGAGAATTAAACCCAAGACTTCTGGAAGAGCAGCTAGTGCTCTTAAACCACTGAGCCATCTCTCCAGCCATTTTTCCAACTATTAACACCCACCCACATATCCAAGTATCTCAAAATAAACCACTGTTTATAGTTTCAACACAAAAGCAAATTTTACGTACTTGGGCTGTAGGAACGAGATCTTGACCGTGACCTGTATCGACTGTAATAAGGAGAAGGTGACCTTCTTCTGTAAGAAATGAGAGATGAATGAGCACACTACATAACCACTTTACCGAGTCAGACCAGAACTAGCCGCTGTGGTAGTTCAGGCCTTTAATCCCAACACTGGGAAGACAGGCCTCAGTGAAGGGAAGCCAGGCTGGTTTACACACCCAGTTCCAAGCCAGCCAGGGCTCCATAGGGAGATGCTGTCTTCAAAAAAACAATACAACCCACGTAATGTATTTTTAAGCAGTACTAAGGATTGAGCCCAGGACCTAGCACTGGAGCAGTACCACCAAGTGACACTTAGCCCTAAAATTTTCTTCAACTCTTACCCACCCCAACCTGAAATATGTAAAGTCACCATGTTGATAGGTTAGACTCAAGTGATCCTCTTATCTTTGTCTCCCAAGCAACTAGGACTATCCAGCCACCATACCCAGCTCAAATATCTAGTTTTTATTGATACATGCCAACATTAAAGTGCTAAATAAAGCCTCCAATCCAGCACAGACTAGACATCTCAGATTAAAACATTACCTGTACCGGTAATCATAATCTTCATATCTGTCATAGCCTCGATCATATCCTCTATCATAGTAAGAATCCCGTCGTCTACCACCACCGCCGCCTCCACCGCCGCCGCCTCCTCCTCCACCTCCACCACCACTACTACAGAAAATGAAGAAAAAAAGAAAAGGTCATCATCCAGGACCATTGAATACAAACTAGAAAAGTGAGGGAACCTCCCTTGCCTGGCCAATGTCCTCCCACCTCTCCTTGCTCACTTCCATGGTGTTCTGCTTTGGCTCCTTATGCTCTAACACAACTCTCTGGAGATATGGCCCAGCAGTTAAGAGCGTACTTGTTACTCTTCCAAGATTCAGTTTGGTTCCCAGCATTCACTTAGGGTGGCTCACAATTGCCTGCCACTCTAGCCAAGCCAATGAAGCTGACGCCATCTTTTGGTCTCTAAGGGCACTGTACTAATGTGCATACACCCCTCCCCAAAAACATAAGAACAAAAACTTTTAAGCCGAGTGCAGTGGCACATGCCTTTAACCCCAGTACTCGGAAGGCAGAGGTAAGAGGATCTCTGTGAGGCCAGCCTGGTCTACAAAGTGAGTTCCAGGACAGCTAAGGATCTATACAGAGACTCTGCACCATCACCACCTCCCCCGCCCCAAAGCATGGGAAATAGGAACAAAATGCACTAAACTATGCCTAAGAAGAACGGAAAGAAAGACAATTAAGAAATAAACAGCGGCCGGGCGGTGGTGGCGCATGCCTTTAATCCCAGCACTCGGGAGGCAGAGCCAGGCGGATCTCTGTGAGTTCGAGGCCAGCCTGGACTACCAAGTGAGTTCCAGGAAAGGCGCAAAGCCACACAGAGAAACCCTGTCTCGAAAAACAAACAAACAAACAAACAAACAAACAAAGAAAAGAAATAAACAGCAAATGTAGAGGCTGGAAAAATGGGTCAGTGGGCAAAGGCGCCTACTGCTATAAACCTGTATCTGCCTCTCCCCACCATTTGCCATTTTTTTGTGTGACAGTAGTCCTAGCTGGCCTCAAACTACAGAGATTTGCCTGCATCTACCTCCTCTGTATTCTTTTAAGGAAAAAAAAAATTTATGTTTTTGTTCAATGTGAAAATCATGGTATTTTAAAACAAACACCAGCACCAATACAATCTGTCCTACAAAGAGGCCTCCAAGAATGCATTTATTTTGATCTTATGGAGACAGAAAGGTTCTCACACCACATGTAGCCAAGGCTGGCTTCAAAAGTAGTAGTAATTCTCCTTTGCTAGCCTACTGAATGCTGGGGATTAGAGGCAAGACACCCATCCAGCAACATCTAATTATTTTTTCTATTTGTATATAACTAAGAGTAAAGAACATACAGATATTTTGCTGTGGGATGGTCTGTATGTCAAGTGTGTTGCTGATTGGTCAATAAATAAATCACTGATTGGCCAGTGGCCAGGCAGGAAGTATAGGCAGGACAAGGAGGAGAATAAAGCTGGGAAGTGGAAGGCTGAGTCAGAGACACTGCCAGCAGCCACCATGACAAGCCACTGAGGAGATGCCGGTAAGCCACGAGCCATGTGGCAAGGTATAGATTAATGGAAATGGATTAATTTAAGCTGTAAGAACAGTTAGCAAGAAGCCTGCCACGGCCATACAGTTTGTAAGCAATATAAGTCTCTGTGTTTACTTGGTCGGTCGGGTCTGAGAGGCTGTGAGACTGGCGGGTGAGAGAGATTTGTCCTGACTGTGGGCCAGGCAGGAAAACTCTAGCTACAATATTTTGTTCACTTGCTTAAATAAATGCATGAAATAGTGTAATTAAATTAGGTATGTTCAAACTCATGTTCTCTGCAGGAGTAGTATGTATTCTTAACTGATGAGCCATCTTTCCTGTCCCCTTAAATGATTATATACTGATAAAAATAAAATTATATGGAAGGAAGGGGGATGTATTTCTACATTTCTGGAATGCAGTTTAAACTTAGTTGGAAGTTGGATTTGCTTTATAGTCTGGGCCCTATACTCATGCTCTGAACATGCTGCTAGGCACTCTATCCCATAAAATATGGAACCTTACTGAGTCGGTCTGCCCATGTAAATGCCTGGTGTAGGCGTGTGTGCTCTCTTGGTGATAGAATAATCCACACGAATTCTTCTACCATCCAGCTCCATCCCATTTGCCCTTTCCATAGCCTAAAAAAGAAAAAGAAAATCACTCACAATTCGCTCATCTTGAAGCCATTTTTAGTTAAAATGAACTATTCATAATCCAAATAAACCCACTTTTGAAAATGGAGCTTGTATAGAGGACTGTTAGCATTTCCAGAGCTAAGTACTATCCAGAACATATTTAAGTTGCCCAGACAATGCCACTAAGATGTTTTACTTACAAAGATCTTCAGATATTCAGAAGAGCTTGCTAAGCTTATTTTTTTTTTCTTTTACTTATAACCCCTCCCACACACCTTAAGACTAGTTATCAATATCACCCTGAATGGACTGGGACTTACAGCAATTCTCTGTCTCACAAGTGCTAGGTTACTGGTATACAACACCATGCCCACACTAACCTACCTCTATTCTTGCTTTTCAGTTTGTAGTTCAGTATTTGTTGGTAAAACTCACTAAGTAGCCAAGAAGTGATAACTTAAAGGTATGCAAAAGAACAATTACAACAGCTTGCATTCTCTTGTTGAGAATTACACAATTCTAAGCCAGCACTGCCCCCTAGTGTAAAGTGTAAAGAAGGAACATAACCTGTCTGCACCTGAGCTCATCATCCCACTCTTGGTTTTTGAGACAGGGTCTCTCTGTGTAGCCCTGGCAGTCCTCAAACTCACAGAGATCTACCTGCCTCTGCCTCCTGAGTGCTGTAATTAAAGGCATGTGCCACCAACTACGTAGCTCCAACTCACTTTTTTTTAAGGAATAATAATGTATGATAGTTTAACTATTTCAGTAAATGGAAAACTTTGCAAGTATTTAAGCTGCCATTTTATGCTATAAAGGAGATAGCTGAAAGAATAAAAAGCTAAGACTAACAAGTTTACATGAAAAAAGTGTGTGGAGACAGAATCTCAGATTCTATCTAGCTTAACTGAAGATGCTCCTGCCCTGGCAGGTGTGGAAAACAAGGCCTAGCATGAAAACAGGTTAACTTTCTAACTCTTATCATTCACTTTATAAGGTCAGAATTCAATTAGCATGTAATTATACCAGGAAGCATGAGCTGAAAAGCAAAACTAGCTTTTTAACTGCAACACTATGAGTTGAGTTCCAATCAGGTCAGACAGAGTCAGGAGGCATGTTTACAGAAATGCTATTAACAGATTTTTTTTTTTTTTTTTTTTTTTTTTTTTTTTTGGTTTTTCGAGACAGGGTTTCTCTGTGTAGCTTTGCGCCTTTCCTGGTACTCGCTTTGGAGACCAGGCTGGCCTCGAACTCACAGAGATCCACCTGGCTCTGCCTCCCGAGTGCTGGGATTAAAGGCGTGCGCCACCACCGCCCGGCTATTAACAGACTTTTAATAGTAATGCTGCATCATTATCATGCAAACAAAAATTCTTCCAAATGAAAATTGTAAAGCAAGACTTACCTCCTTAGAGTCATCTATCCTCTCAAAATACACAAAAGCAAATCCACGTGACCTTCCAGTTCGCTGATCATAAACTACATTGACACCACTCAATGGTCCATATCGAGAGAATACTTCACGAAGATCTCTCTCTGTTGTGTACAAACTGAGGCCAAAGACACCCAGGCAAGTGTTGGGATCTGGATTTGCCTGTTGAATAAAGGTAGATTTAAATTTTAATTAAGACTCCAATATAAGATCAAAACACATAAAGATCTTCTTTGAAATACACTTATAGCTATAGCCTGTACAAAACTATTCCCCGCTCTCTAGTCTAGCTCAGCATTTTTCAGAACGTACCTAAAGAATTCACCTTTTGCATGCACTATTTAATGTGCCTCATTTCCATTTTTCCAGTAACCTCAGTGCTGGGACTGCCCATGCACCACACACCCAATTTCATGTGGTGCTGGAGACTGAACCCAGGGCCTCATGCACAACGGCTAAGTATTCTTCCCACTCAGCTACCATCCTAGCCCTCTATTTTCATTCTTTTAAAGATTTATTTTAGGGGCTGAAGTATTGGTTAAAGGTACTTGCTGCTCTTGGAGAGGAACCCATTTCGGTTCCTAGCACCCACAAGAACCACCTCTAACTCTACTTCCAGGGCATCCAACACCTTCTGACCTCCCCAGGCAAACGTGGTGCACTGTATACATAAAGGCAGGCACTCACACACATATTAAAAAAACTTTTTTTTTTTTGTGGTTTTTCGAGACAGGGTTTCTCTGTAGCTTTGGAGTCTGTCATGGACTAGCTCTGTAGACCAGACTGGCCTCCAACTCACAAAGATCCACCTGCTTCTGCCTCCTGAGTGCTGGGATTAAAGGCGTGCGCCACCACCGGCGGCCACATTAAAAAATTTTAAAAGTCAATCCTACCCCCATGTCCACAGAGGACAGATGGGGTAATAGATCCCAACTCTGGTCCTCTGGCAAAGCAGTAAGAGTTCTTAGCCACTGAGTCTTATGTCCAGGCACCGTTTTCATTCTGAGGCAGGATCCAGACTTAACTACTGACACAGTCTACCATGGTTGTCAGCATCACTGACATCACACAGGGGAAGCACAGCAGAGAAGGACTTTAGAGTAAGCCAACCCATTTGAAACCTGGGCTCTGTCACTATTTAAAACCACCACCAAAACCAAAACCAAAATAACACATTTATTTAGGGTGTGGACACACTTGTGCTAGGAAGCACATATGAAGGTCAGGACAACTCTTTCTACAGTGTGGGTTCTAGGTTTAAACTCAGGTCATCAGGCTCCACAGCCAAGTGCCCTGATGCACTCACTTACTGAGCTATCTTGCTGGCCTCTCTGCCAACTCTTAAACCAAAACAAAACACTTCAGTGTTTCACATCCGAATAACAGCACATAAAGAGTATTACACATATTCAGTAAGAATATAAGTTATTGCCGGGTGTTGGTGGTGCACACCTTTAATCCCAGTACTCAGGAGGCAGAGCCAGGCAGATCTCTGTGAGTTTGAGGCCAGCCTGGGCTACAGAGCAAGATCCAGGATAAGGCACCAAAACTACACAGAGAAACCCTGTCTCGAAAAACAAAAACAAAACAAAACAAAGTTATTACATAGAGATTATTGGTATTTTCTTATTTCTTCCCTGTAATAATAAAACTTTTGAGTAGAAAAGAAACATACAGCAAAACTTGAGTGTATCACATCTCAGTTTATGAATTTATTTTAATTGGTGAACATAGCCCCCCCCCCCCCAAAAAAAGAATTTTTAAAACGCATGGAAAAAGCTGGGTACAAATGTGCACATCCCAAATCCCAGCACTAAACAGACAGGAGGACTACTGGTCTTACTGTTCAGCCAGCATGACCAACATGGGAGCTCCAGGTTCAGTGAGCTCTACCTCAGAAGATAAGGTGGTAAATAACTAAAGAGGATAATGGATAGGCCCTCTGGTCTCTACATGGACACCTGTGCAGACACATAGCACATACAAACTAAAGAAGACTCAAAGGGTTGGAGAGACACCACTCAGCAGAGGTGCACTTTCTAGCACCCATGTTAGGAGGTTCACAAGTGACTGTTCATTACTCTAGCTCCAGAGCAATCAATGTCTTTTCTGGCCTCCTGGGAAAGACACTCACACAAACTTTCTGCCTTAGTATCACAACACTTAAGAGGATGAGGCAGGATTGCTGAGTTTTGAAGTCAACCTTATTTACATGGCAAAAATCTGTCACACACACAAAGTCAAGAATATGGACTTCATTTGTAGTAGGTTCATGAAATTATGTAGGCTTGTTAAGGTAGCATTTCCTTTATTAGCAAATGCACAACATAAAATGATTCACTTTTTTGTTTTTTGAGGTAGAGCTTCACTATGTACCCCTGGCTGGCCTGGGCCTCTGAGATCTGCCTACTTTTGCCTCTTGAGTACTGGAATTAAAGGCAAGTACTACCACATGCAGCTAAAATCTGTTCTTTCTGCAGTACCACTTCTTTCATAATAGCAAGGCATTTTGCCATGACTACACACCGGAGGAAGAGAAAACCGAATTTCCATTAACTCTTATACACATACCCTGCTGCCTGTATGTCTTCTGCGATTAGACATTGGAGAGTGACTCCGGCTTCGTCGTCGACGATACTCTGGCGTATAGGATCTACTTCGAGATCGTCTTCTATGAGAGTGGGACCGGGACCGAGTGTAGCGTCTATGAGAATGCCTCCTTGACCTTGACCTTTAAAAGAAATAAACTTAGGTTAAATATTGCACCACAGGGATGGGGAACAGTTAAGAGCATTTGCTGTTCTCTAAGAAAACACAGGCATGGTTTATGGTGGCTCATAACCATCTCTAACTCCAGTTTCTGGGCATGACTCACTCTTCAGGTCTCTGAGGGCACTGCATGCAAGTGGCACACTAATTAAAAAAAAAAAAAATTACCTAAATAAAAATAAATTTTTTTTTTGGTTGATTTATGTCTCAACCCCTCATCTGACCTGAGAAAAATATATTTTTTTAAATGATTTCTTTTTGGAGGGGTGGGGGCTAGAGAGATCAACTTGGTTGTTGAGAATACACACTGCGCGCTCTCTCTCTCTCTCTCTCTCTCTCTCTCTCTCTCTCTCTCGACAGGGTTTCTCTGTGTAGCTTTGGAGCCCTTCCTGGAACTCCCTCTCTAGCACAGACTGGCCTCAAACTCACACGGAGATCTGCCTGCCTCTGCCTTCTGGAAGCCACTACCGCCTGGCTATTTCTATTTAGTCCATCCCTTCACTCTCATTTCACCTTCTGTCAAAAAGGTTAAAGGATACGTGAGAAAAGAAAGGCATACAGACAAACAGAATAGGGCATGGCGCTCAGAGGCAAGAATATCTCCATGAGTACGAGGCTGGCCAGAGCTAGTTAGACCTTGTTTCAAAGAAAACAAAGAAAGAAAAAGAAAAGCAGCAGCAGCAGGGCATTACTATCACCAGCACTCAAGAGGGACAAAACCACTGAGTTTCAGGCCAGTCAGGGCTAGATAGGTAGTGAGACCTCGTCTAAATTGAAAAGAAAAAGAGTGATGAAGATCCACTTGGAGAATAACAAAAGAGTAAAATCTGCTATACCTAAAAGGAATTAAGGACGAGCGAAGAGTATTGAGGCAACCTGGTAGCAAGTGCTTGAATAAACAGACTTCCGAGAGAGGGATGAAATAAATCTAATGGCATACTACCAGAGAAAAATCATTTGAGTGGGAAGAATACTAATGAAGATATCCCCTTCTCCCCCTTTCGGTTTTTTAAGACAGGGTTTCTCTATATAACAGCCTTGGCTGTCCTCGAACTCAGAGATCTGCCTGCCTCTGCCTCTTGAGTGCTGGGATTAAAGGTGTGCACCACCAACACCTGGCATGAAGATATTCCTTAGTCTCCTTAATAATCATTTTAGTGCAGTCTACCACCACCACTACCAAAAATAAATTAAAAAAAAAAAAGTTTATTTTTTTGGCTTGGGCAGAAAGCTTATGGGTGATCAGGACGTAAGGCAGAGAACTAGGCATACAGAGCTTCAGAAGCCCTGTGAAAGTTGGCCAGGTGTGGTAACTGGCCAGTAACTCCAGTTTTGGAAGGTAGCGCCTCGGGATCCTCAGAACATGATGTTTGGCTAGAACAGTCACACTGGCAAGCTCTGGACTGACTGAGAGATTCTGCTTCAGACAGTAAGGTGGATTAAAGATGTGTGTATCTAGCATTTTAAAAAATCTGTGTATCTGATGTCGTTGTGTGGGTACATGGGAAGAGGTCAGAGGACAATTGCAATAGTCAGTTCCACCATTTGGCTTCCATGGATTAAACTTAGAGAACCAGGTGTGGTGGCACGGGCCTTTACCCAATGAGCAGTAGCTAACAGATAAGCCAAGGTATGACTCTAAATTTTGCAGTCGGAGCCATCGGTGAACCTTCTATATGAAATGCAGCTAAAAGGAGATCTGACAAAACCCCCTTGCTGTGAAGAAAGCAGCCTACACATTTTAAACTTACCTGGATTTTGATCTTGATCGAGAATGGGATTCAGAATGTTTGGAAACTCTTGATGGACTACGAGATCCTGACCTGCTCTCTGATTTTACGCGAGCAGGAGTTCCCGTTGGAGATTTTGACTGAGAGCGAGACTCCTAACAAAGAAGACAGTATTACAAATGGCACTGGTCACGTAGATGCCTACCACCTAACATTTAAAGTACCGTAATTATTTATATTGATTGCTCCTGAAAAACAAATGGTTAGGCAACACCCTCCAGAAAAAAAATTTCAGCTCATTAATATCCCATTGTTAATACTGCTAACTGTCCTCAATAATTCCCTACTTGAACCAGATCACCAATTTTCTATTAACTAAGTAATCATGCAAATTCATCTACAACTTGATCATACAGACACTGGAACATAAACCATACATTTACTTAACCTAGGACCCATTCATTCTTCCAGATTCTTTTAATTCTACTTCACTCTTGCTTTCTACTTCTCTTCATTCTTCATTGAGTTTTTCATTTTTCATACTTCGTGTATTCTTCCCCAATTCAAACAATTCAAAATAGCCTTAAAAAAATATTCAAGTGCTTCTATCTGACCAATCTTCTGTTCAATTTTTTCCCCCATTCAATTTTAATTTTCTGATCTTTAATACTTTTCATTAGCCTTCTTTTATCTTGATTTATCTTCCACATTCTTGGAAAAAACTCTTCAATTTCTTCACGAACATTAACCTTAATGGAAAAAGAACATTTAGTATATTTAAGCACGTGGGGATTATAAAACTCTGCTGGAATTCAGAATGTTATCTACCAAATGGAAAGGCCAGCAGGTAAAGTGCAAATAACTAGTTTATTTAAAAATAAATTAAAAAACCAAATTTTTATAGTATTTAAAAATGTTCAAATGTGTAGTCTAACAGAATTTACTGAATTTCTCTAAGTTTTTAACCATACTCTTTACCCTCCTCCCCTTTCATGTCCATTCTAGTCCCTAATTTAAATATAAATATAATTCAAACATAAACTTCAATTCCCCCCACCTAAATATTCATTTTCCACTATTTTACAGGCTGAAGTCTTACTGATCTTAGAAGTAATTTTCAATAAGCCACCACACTAAGAAACTCAGGTACAGCTGAGGCAGAGCATCCCAGGCTGAAAGGGCCATGCACACCACGTGAACTCACAGGACAGCACACATGCCGGAGGGAGATCAGGACCTAACAGATGAGTAAGACTGCACCTCCCAATTCTGACTGCCGTTTTCACCGTTCTGATTACCCAGAAAGATGTGTTTTGAAGACAAGCGTATAAAAACTAAAGGGAAAGAGCACAAAGTTTCTAACAGTCCTTCCTTTGGCCTGTAAATTTCTAAAATACATGCTGTTGCTGTTTTATGAGACACATCTGCACTTTATAACCCAGGATGGACTATGGTTCACAGAAATAAATCCTCCTGCCTCAGCCTTCCAAGTGCTGGAATCACAGAAATCTCCCACCCTTGTACCACTTAAATACCATACGGTACAAACAACAAAATGTATATCACAACTGTCCTCGATCCCACTGCGTTTGCATTTATGCACATCTGCATTCCTTGCAGGGGCATCTGTGTATGCTATCGATGAAAAATAGACACCTCCTTCATGGCAAACCAGTTTCTGAAGTTAGTTCTATATAAAAACTCACCAAATAATTTATAACTGATTAAAAAGCATGGTAACTTGATTGATATCGAGACCCACACAAACAAAATAGAACCCAAAATTTGGTTTCTCCATCCACTTAAGACTCAGTTATTAATGCAAAGAATTAGCCCAGTCTTACAAAAGTATATATTCATACCAATTTTCACTCATGCCGTAAGATATCCCAAATCTCCTGCCTCCATTTCCCTGAGCTATAACCCTGGCTCCTTTCCTTGAAGTTTAATATCAAAAGATTTACTTATCAGGAACTCTACCCATTATCTCCCTGGTCAATGATAACCTTTCCAATGTTTTTTTCTTTTCCCTTCCCCTGAGACAGGTTTTCTGCGTAACAGCTCTGGCTGTCCTGGAACTTGCTTTGTAGATCAGGCTGGCCTCGAGCTCACAGAAATCTTCCTGCCCCTGCCATCTGAGTGCATCACCACCACCCTGCCAATCTTAACAATGTTAAGTTTTTCATATTTTACACTCTAAATTTCTAGACAGCTGCCTGGAGCAACATACAATTTTGCTTGTAACTGAAGTCTTAAGGGGCTGGTTCAAAATCTGAACCAAGAAAATGTCTTTTCTTTTAGCTTTCCTTTCTATAAAACAGACTCTCTAGCATAACATTCAATTATGCTGCGGTGGAAGTACAGTGGTCACAATAGTGTTTATGCAAGCACCACAGCCTTTTTATACATAAGTAGCAGAAAGTTTTGCTGAGATACTATAAACCTTTAGTTTTACTATGATTAAACAAAACAAAACCTTGGATAAGCCTAAAATTTACTCTTAACAAATCCTTCAGTATGACAAAAACATAACGGCCCAGATACATTTCTAGTTTCTCAAGCTTCTTCTCAAAAACACTGTTATTGAAAATGACTTCTTTAAAAGATTACATTTTAAATTTATTTTGTGTGCACGTGGCCAGAAAGCAACTTGTTGGAGTCCATTCAGAACTCGGGTTATAAGGTGTGGCAGCAAGTGCCTTACCCACTGAGCTATCTTGCTGACCCCAAAAATTACTTCTGGAGACTTCAGTAACTCAGTAATGTACGTATATGTGTATGTACATGTGTGTGTGTATATATACTTAAACTCCAGATCTAGAGTCACAAAAAAATACAGTTTGGCAGAATATCTTTTAAAGGTATTCTCGACTTCCTGGAGTGCTAGGGATTGAACTGAACCCCAGGCTGTTGCATGCTAGGCAAGCACTGGATAATGACTTACAAACCCAGGCCAAAAGCATTATTTAACCCCAGGGTGTCACAAATATCTAGAGCTGTTTTATCTGATCTCTTTACCTTCAGAATCTTCTCTAAACAACTTTATAGACTAGTCAGTCCTCTTAGCTGTCTGCTAACAGCTATCATAAGTGTCACAAACTTAAACTAGGACCAAATCACACATTTCAGATCATGGCCTGTTGTTCTAAACAACTGGTGATACAGAAAGCAGGTCATACTAATGTTTATCATTTAAAAGGATCTTATTTCTCAAACACTAACTAAATAAATACCACTTTCATTAAACTCTGCATTAGAAACCAGGCTACAGTAGTCATTTATGGAGGACAGATGCCAGATAATCTTTTTTTTTCTTACTCCTTGACTATCTTTTTAAATGAAACAATTTCAACAAACTTAAAAAAAAAGACAGGGTTTCTCTGTAGTCCCGGCTGTTCTGGAACTCACTCTGTAGACCAGATTGGCCTCCAACTCAGAGATCCTCCTGCCTCTGCCTCTGCCTCCTGAGTGCTGGGATTAAAAGGTCACCATCGCTGGAACTTTACACCCCCCACCCTGTTTTTGAAATGAGATTTCATTATGTTGCCCAGGCTGATTTCAATTTTGTGAAACTGGGACTACAAGCATGTGTGAGCATATTTGGCTAATTTTAAATTTCAAAAAAGAAATTCTTAAGACTATTTAGAATTTGGGAACTTAAATTGCAAGGAAGAAAACAAATGCTGGTACAAGGTGGTTATCTGTCTTGTCTCACTAGACTAACCAGCTCTTAAAGCTATCATATTTAAGGCTGTTAAAATCCTTTATAGGCTTCCCTCCACCTTTAGATACTACAAACCAGAAAGAAGCCAGGCAGAAGACATTCATAGCATGACTCACTCAAACAGGTTCTGGTATTTGCTATATGGACAAATGGTTGTGGAACATAAGCAAGCAACAGGAAGCTCAGTAGTGTAGATGCAAAATAGAAAACCTAAACACTTAGTAAAGATAAGAAAACTATATAAACACTATAATAACCCTTTTAATTACTAGGTCCAGGCAATGCTGCCAGGTTATAGGGACAAATTAACATATATTCAAGTCTGTACATCATGTGAAAAACTTCCTGTTATTTCCTTAGTACTTTATTTTTTTTTATTTATTTTTTTTTCGAGACAGGGTTTCTCTGTGTAGCTTTGCGCCTGTCCTGGAACTCACTTGGTAGCCCAGGCTGGCCTTGAACTCACAGAGATCCGCCTGGCTCTGCCTCCCGAGTGCTGGGATTAAAGGCGTGCGCCACTACCGCCCGGCTCCTTAGTACTTTATAAAGTGGGAATTTACACAGAAATAAACTAGTGAATTTAAATCATATGCCCCAAGAAGAAAATGTACTTTGGCTGTCCACATACTGGACTTACTCTATTAACTGGTCTACAGTAGGGACACTTATGCTTTCTCTTTCTCTGGGATACAATGGGGCTGGTTTTTAATAGAAATTAGGAAGGAAAAGCAAACATATTCAGTTTCTTATCAAAGCAAATTGCTATTAGAATCCCTGAAAAACAAACTATACAGGTCATCCATCTCTTTTAAGATGTTTGTCTGATGCATGATGAAGTCAGTGCAGTCTTTGTCTACAAAGACTCCTGGATGACTCAATGTAACCTATGCCTATATTCTCTAAAGTTTGGAATAACTGAAAACTTATCATAAATGACTTAGTAACTGGCAGTCAGTCAAATTTTAAAATTAAGCCACAGTTGTCATGTTATCTGTAAAACTTACAATCTTTTGGTAAAAACTTTAAAGGGGCCGGGCGGTGGTGGCGCACGCCTTTAATCCCAGCACTCGGGAGGCAGAGCCAGGCGGATCTCTGTGAGTTCGAGGCCAGCCTGGTCTCCAAAGCGAGTACCAGGAGAGGAGCAAAGCTACACAGAGAAACCCTGTCTCGAAAAACCAAAAAAAAAAAAAAAACTTTAAAGGTTGCTCATACCCTGCTAGCTTATGTGTTCTGATAAAACGTTGCGTTTGAATCTGGTATAAAAAACAATTTCAAAGGTACATGTTTAGGGCTGGGATGGAGCACAGTTGTTTGAGAGCTTTCCTAACATGCACAAAGTTGAGTAGATGCCCCATACTTGGGTGTGGTAGCACATGTGTACACTCTTATGATGCTTCAAGTTCAAGGTCACCTGGGCTACATGGCCCCTCT